CACCCCATACTCCCCCCTGCCCACCACATCTACAACACCTACATCCCTCAACACATCCCGTAGTGCACCCAAAACACATCCTGCCCCCCTCGGCGTCACATCCCCATACCTAATCACACAGTTCCAATCACCTCCAATTACAGTTATGGAAGGTAAACCCCGCAAATAATACATCAAAACATCACGTACAAAATCAACTTTGACTCTAACATTGTTACATGCCGGCATATATACACCAATGAAACATACTTTCCCCACCCCCCAGTGCCCATCTACCCTTACAACCCTCCCCCCTCCTCCCAACCCATGACACGCAATGGGCTGGTCTCCTTTACAGCTACTGCTACCCCTCCTTTTAATTGCAAAGCATTACTGACAAACATTTTATAACCCCTCAAACTCAATTCACTCCCTAACCTATGGTTATGCTCCTGCAAAAAACATACATCCACATCAAACCTTCGTAAAAACCACTCTAACCAAACCCTTTTTACCTCAGATTTAAGCCCATTGACATTTATTGTGACACTTGAATTTGCTAGAAGAGGGGGCTTACCCCTATGCCGCTGTATCTTACTCACTTCACCTTTCTCAGTACCTGTACCATTTTTATCCTTTTTTCTAACCTGGCCTCCAGCCCCTCCTTGCCCCCCCCCACTGATCTTCCCCGGTACACCCCCTCCCCTGCCTACCTTTTCCCCTACAACTACCCATGACTTCTTCCCGGGTCTCTGCCCAGGTGTTAAAACCTCATCGAGGTCAAAAGCACCCGCAGTCCTTTTTCGTGAGCTCTCACTCACACACAAATCTACTTCCTGCACGTCCTCCTGATGGACTTCCACCACCACTTCCATGTCCTCTCTGGCATTCCTCGAACCCTTCACCTGTTCCTGCTGCTCAACCATCAGCTGTATCTCACTTGACTTCTCAGGACCATCCTCCCCGGCCACCGTCTCATCGAAGAACTCCTTCAGCACCGCATCCAGCAACTTCTCCTGGGTAGACTCTTCCACGTCCACCCGTCCCTCAGGCGATGGGGGCCCCTCCCCTGTCACCTCTGGGATGGTAACACAGGTACCGACCGTCGATACTTCCCGTTCTACCTCTTCACTCCATCGACCACTCGTCACTGGTTCCACCTCTCCCAACTCAGGCATCAACTCACATGGTCTCTGCTCCACTGCCAACGTACCAGGAGCCCTGGTAGGCTGCCTTCTAGGACAGTGAGCTGCCATATGATCATATGAGCCACAAAGTCGACAGGTCTTTCTCTGGCCGGCATAGTGTACAAAAACCTGCGTCCTGGACTCCACCAACATGACGTAGGACGGTATAGGCCTAGCCAACGTCATTTTGAGGGTATAAGAGCCCTCAGGTCGTCCCTTATATGGCCCTTCTGTCCATACTCCCATCGTTGCCGAATGAACTTTACCGTAGTTGTTGAATACCTCCTGTATACTATACGCCGTCGCCTCGAAAGGGACATTCCTGACCTTCACCCACGTATAGTACCTGGATACGTCATGCATAACGACGTCCACTGCCGAGTTCACCGTCACCTTCCTCTCCTGATACTCTTCAACAAGTCTGTCGTAGACGCCGGTACGATTCAGTTTTAGGAATACTCTGGTCATCCCATTCAAGGCAACACCATATACTTCCTCGTTGGGGACACCATAGGCGTCCCTGATGATAGCAGGTAGCAATGTATGCATCGTTGCTCCAGTAAGCGTGCCACGTACCAGCTGTATACAAACAGTGTTAATCCGTTGTCCCACTCGGTACGCCATTTTGTCTTCTAGTTGCTAAAGGTCACCACCAGAGGGCAGGTGTAGCTACTAGGCGTGCGTCCTCTCTCCCCGGAGGTCGAGAGACGAATGCCACGGCTTAATTAAATGTGTACTAGACGCGGCATTTATACCCACTAGCCAGAAAGAGATGATTTACCATAACTACTGGATCGTCTCTTCATCCAATTCGTAGCTCTTTCTCTATAAATATAATGCTTAGCGCTTCTTTTTGATTATAATAATAATATAAATATAATATTAATGGCACTGATCAGATTTTAAAGCAGTTATTTGTGATGCGGATGATTTCCAACTTGGGTGAATGGCGTCTGGTCTTGCAAATGCTTGCCTGGATACCAAACAATTTACTACTGTTATGTCATACAACAAATTGGTTTACTTAGTATTTTTTATTATTTGTGAGAACACTTCCATACGCAGATGAATGGGGAAAATCTTTATTAAAGGTTGCAACTTGCTGGTCGTGTAACTTGCAGAGACCTTCCCCTTGCATTGCAAAATTAAGAGATGGTCTCAAAAGCGATTCCCGCAGCTGGAACTTTTGGCTATCTGACGGAGGACTTCTGCTGGCTTACCGGTGCACGTCTATAAAACTCATGGTCATGATTTTGACCATTATAATTATATACTATACAATCGTCTACGATAATAGATGACTACTGTACTGCTGGAGCACAAAGAAAGCGAATGGCTCATATATACTAGGACAAACATCTAGAAAATCCTTGTTGAGAAGTACCTAAAAACCATACCCCCGGCCGGGATTGAACCCGCGGTCATAGAGTCTCAAAACTCCAGCCCGTCGCGTTAGCCACTAGACCAGCTAGCCACAATAAGATTCATCCAACTAGGTATATTTCTACACCATAGGAAAGTTAGCACAGGCACCTCTGTGACCACAAATGCAAGTTTTTACAGACGAATCTCCAGCTAGCGTGGCCGTGACGAACTCTAGCTCAAGTCCCTTCACTGCCGTCAACATGACTCAAGAAATCGTAATGACACGATTGCAAATAAACCATACCCCCGGCCGGGATTGAACCCGGCCGGGGGATTCGTCTGTAAAAACTTGCATTTGTGGTCACAGAGGTGCCTGTGCTAACTTTCCTATGGTGTAGAAATATACCTAGTTGGATGAATCTTATTGTGGCTAGCTGGTCTAGTGGCTAACGCGACGGGCTGGAGTTTTGAGACTATGACCGCGGGTTCAATCCCGGCCGGGGGTATGGTTTATTTGCAATCGTGTCATTACGATTTCTTGAGTCATACCTAAAAACCATTGTTTAATTCCAGCATTGAAGAATAACTGTCACTAACTAATCCAATGTTTTCAATGGGAATTTCTCCAGCTGTAAATACCTCTTTCATTGTTTTGTTCAATCCTGTAGCTGTAGCATCGTCAGCTTCTACAGTACCTGTAAGTTTTGACCTTTGTCAAAAAATTTCACCATAAGTACCAATACTAGTGAAACAGACATGTCAGTCCTCTCATTTACAAAAATTTCCTCTGCATATGTTAGTAACTTCCTGATGTTCATTCCATGTAGTGCCATTTTGCATAATACAGAATTACTTATCGTTATTGAAAGATTTTCTCGCATGACTCACGAAATCGTAATGACACGATTGCAAACAAACCAGCGACGGGCTGGAGTTTTGAGACACTCTGACCGCGGGTTCAATCCCGGCCGGGGTATGGTTTGATTTTCTCGCATCATTGGGAAAAGTTTCTTTATAACATCTACCAAGTGATTCGCCTAGGAAAATAGCACGTTGTGTCCTGCCATGAAACCTGCGAGGATTAAGTCGGGCTTTGTAACTTTACGATTATGAGCAAATCCTGATACATTTAAATATGCTGCTGTATTCTATGTTCTTCCTGGCATTTACTTTTCTTGCATGTGTTAAGGACACTTAATACGTCATTAAAGACGACTTATTACAATTTTTCAGCTTACGGGCGGCCAGCAGTAACATCCTGGTTGATCAGACCCTGATCCACCACGAGGCATTGTCTCAGACCGAGCCGAGGGTCGTTGAACCCCGAAACCCTCTCCAGGTATACAGTTCATACAGTGCACAGCACTGCATATTTATCTGATAAATCAGGCTTTAACCACCATTAGAATCTTGCGTTATCCATCCACATTACTTTAAATCTGGGGTCGGCAACCTCTTGGAGAGAGAGGACCAGACAGCTGTGCAGTCTCCAGGAGGAGGACCATGTTATTAAATGTAATATAAAAAAATTTTCTCGAACTCAGGGTTCCCATTAATTTAAAACAATTTTGGCCTAATTCTAATAATACTTAACGCAATTTATCACGAATAATTAAATAAACATTATTATGGAATGCAGATACCTACTGTACAGTTTTACCACCAGACAACAAACTCAAATGATAAACTCTGAGGGAGGATACGAAGTAACTTTCCCAGGGACTGCTTAAGGTAATAATTAGTACAATAATCGAAGTGCGTGAACCTATTTCCAGAGTCACTAAAATACTGAGCGACAGTTACAGACTTAGGTTACTGTGACAGACTTGACAGCTCAAGGGTACTGGATATAGCTATTTCCTGGTCAATACGTGTTTTTTAACTATGTAGGATCCAGAATATTTGCCATTTTTCACCAAATGTGCGAAAAATTTTAAAAAAGTGTCGTCAGAATGCATAAAAATACCACTTTGTCTCCCACACTCTACCAACTCTCTTTTATGTACCATTCAAGTAGGAGGCAGACGTCTCTCCCTCTACCACTTGAGGAGACTTGGGCAGCTGAGCCGTCACTAAAGTTGAGATCGACGAAGCAGGGCGAGGCATAACGGAGAGAGGTGGGCCTTGGGGGGGGGGCACGATTTTGGACAGGGTAGTGTGGGGTAGATGGGGTGCAAAGAATAAGAAAGGTGGGTGACGGTGGTGAATACATTACTGATTATAGTAGTGGTGGTGGTGGTGAGAACTGGCGATTGAGTGACAACCCGACAAAAAACGCACGTATAACATCCGCGAAATGATCGACAGCACTAAAACTCACAATGCATCGGGCAGTGTGATCTACGCCGCACCATATTTCACCCAGGAAAAGAGCAAAAATTCGAGTCCTGGAACTTTATGACAGCACCCCGCATGGCTCAGTTCAGCACTCTTCCATGAATCTACATAACTTGTTGAGCTGAGACTTACCTGCGTAATAAATAAAGTGTGTGTAGTAGTATGGGCAGCAGCGGGTCAACTCCCTCCAGTAGCAGACGGTCAGGGATCCCAGATTAATTGTGTCAGAGGTGATGCGTGAGGTGGCCACCAGCGGCGCCACCAGCACCAACAACACCAGCCAACACATTACAACACAACCTGCAGTAATTTTTTTTTTTTTTTTTTTTTTTTTTTTTTATATTTTATTTTAAACATGACATTACAAAATATAATATGTAAAACTCATTTAAGTCTATAAATTAACACAATCCTCCCTACAGCTAATGTTACACACCACACTTACAACTCCGTGTGGGTACACCCCCCCTCCCTGCTCCCTCATCCTATCACTTAACCCAAACCTGTTGGAGCTACTCAACAGAATTACATGATATGAACAACACTTTTATATACACATCCCTCGAAATGGTACTTAATGATCGACTACAGACCATACAATGCATTGCACTGAACATATTATACAGACATATTACCCCCCCCCCTAGTGGTTATCCAACCACCCCACTATTTACAACCTAACATACTATAAACAATGAATGTTGCCTAATCTAAAGTCACACAGCAATGACCCAACATTAATTTATGTAATTGTCCTAATGGTTCAGTTACATAACAATATGTATTACACAACAATGGTGATATAGAAAAGTCACAAGGACATACAAAATTACTACAAAACCATAAGAATAAACTTAGTCTCAAAATCCAACACATGTAAGCCTTTACACATTTAAACATGCAATTCCAGTGTTAAAACAATCACACAGCTTCAACTATGACATTCAAGCTCTATACAGCTATTGACAACAGTACACTACAACATAAAATATAACCATGACACAAGTAACACATAAAGACTGTGCCTAGCACGCACCTAACCACAAAAACCTATAACCCCCACTGTTGCCCAACTTTATTTACACTATCTGACGTGCATTAACCTCTTTACTCTCAAAACAAACTGAAAATTGCAGAACACCAGTGACGAACAATAATGCACAGACATTAATACAAACATATCACATCATATCTCTGGACACCGTGCATGATCACAGCATCAACACTATGCAGTGCAAGGCACCTAGAAAACAAGTTGGAGCAAACACATACAATTATTATAGCAAATCTCCAAATTACAATGTCATTACCGTAAATCAATATTACCACACACAATATGTATAATAAGTATAAAGTCCTGTCACACAAAAACTGGCCAGCTCCACAGGTGCTAGCACCCGTGGTCCACATATTATTCACTCATGCATCACTCATCCAACACTCTCGCAAAACTTTTGTTATCCATTACCAGGGGGGCAACCCTGTTTTCACCCCTGACTTCCTACCCCAGCAACACTTTCCAATCATACCCTCCCCTCCCTCGTATATTACAAGTCTAATAAAACCTGTAACGTAAGTTGCCTATATCCCTCTGAAAAATCCTTCACCCACCTCCTCTCATAAATTCCTTATTTCTACATACCGTTTTATAGAACGTTAACGCTAACACCCTCCTCTTCACCTCAGTAACCTGTTTGCCCCGCAATCCCCACACTATATAGATATAATCTGCCATAATGTATCCCACAGCTCTGATTACACTTTCCTCCAACCCCCCACGTCGAGACTTAATGCTCTCAATACAGAAATTCCTTTACCTCCTATCCTATTTATCTTTTTTTTTTTTTTTTTTATATTTTATTTAAAACAACACAATACATTAAATAAATA